GTTAAAGAGGAACAGGAGGACCCAGAGCCCCCACACATTAAAGAGGAACAGGATGAACTCTGCACCAGTCAGGCGGGAGAGCAGCTTCAAGGGCTGGAGGAGGCTGATGTCAAGTTCTCTTTCACTCCTGTGAAGAATGAAGATGATGAAGAGGAAGCTCAGTCCTCCCAGCTTTATCAAAGACAAACTGAACAGATGGAAACAGAAGCTGATGAAGAGGACTGTGGAGGACCAGAACCAGACAGGAACTTAGATACAGATAGACATCCAGAACCAGATACTGATGACAAGACTGGAGCCTTTTCTGACACTGATGACAGTGCTGATTGGAAGGACACCAGAGAACCTCAGTCAGGTTTAAACTCTTTGAAACCTGATAAAGTCCTTGTCAGTGATTCAAGATGTAGCGCTGGTGAGAAACCTTTTAGATGCTCGGAGTGTGAGAAAACATTTGGCCAGAGTCGATATCTGAATAGACACATGAAAATCCACACAGGAGAGAGACCTTACAGCTGCTCAGTTTGCAAGAAAGATTTTTACAATTGTTCAAATTTAAAGACACACATGAAAATCCACACAGGAGAGAAACCTTTCAGCTGCTCGGTTTGTAAGAAATCTTTTAACCAGTGTTCAAATTTAAAGACACACATGAAAATCCACACAGGAGAGAGACCTTACAGCTGCTCAGTTGGCAAGAAATCTTTTGGACTGAAACTAACTTGTCAGGATCACATGACAACCCACACAGGAGAGAGACCTTTCAGCTGCTCAGTTTGTGATAAAGCATTTATGCGCAAGCCCAATCTAAAGGTACACGTGAAAACTCACACAGGAAAGAATCCCCTTTAGCCCTTTTACCCAATCACCCCTCTGCATATCCCTTTGAGCGGTGGCTCTATAGGGCGGTGGCTCAATGTAGATTTTTCGGGTTGTTCCTGGTTGAACCAAATGTCTCATGTCCCCGAAACCAGACCCTCCCCAGCAAGCTCCACTCCGAGGTCTGGATTCAGAAAGGGGCCTCAGTTTCCCTTTTTGCTGATGTAAATATCTTCTTGTGTAAAGTTATTTTGCTTGGATACAGAATTGCAGAAGAATACCAGAAGGCAATTCATGTGTTTATGCATTGACTTTTGCAAGTATGAGTTTTCCTTTTTGTAATGTTGTAATTTCTGTTGTCTCTGTTTAGTCGCCCAGTCCTACGCACCTTTTCACTTTACCCACCAGGTGTCCCTGTTTTTCCTCTTGTATATATTGTTTTTAATGGTTTTGAGGAAATGGGTTGTTATGATTTAGGTTAGATGTTTTCCTGGTCATTTTAATATCCCATGTCTAGTCTGAACTTAGTACATACTGTAATGTCAAAAGAATGTATCTAAATGTAAAATAAACTCAAATGTCATTTTACTTATTGCTGAGGGAGCAGAAAAAGATCAGAAGGGAGTTAATGGGTTGAATTTTGTCTTCTGCAGAAGTAAATAAATGTTGGAAAACAATCAATTGAGTCGTCTTTTTCCATTTCCAACCCACACCCATTACATATGGAAAAGATGGAAGGTAACTTAAGATGGGAATAATTTATAGACTGCAGGAATTAATTTGATTTAAAAAAAATAAAAATGTAGGGCTTTTATTTTGTAGGTTACCAACCAAGTTGTAGCAGAGCCTGCCCTGCAGGTAGAAATGGGAGACACGCCGCTGGATTTAAGGAGAAAGCAACTGATGGCAAAGTACTGGGCTAATTTACAGGGACACCATGACTCTCACCCTGCAAAAGGAGTGCTGCAGGTGGTCTGGGAGAATGGGAGGAGTCAGAGAGATGGCTTGACATTGCAAGAGAATTTGAAGTGTTTGATCTAAGGATAAGCCCCTCAGTAGTTTACCCGGTAATGGCTCCATGTACGCTTGTGTGGCCTGACATAGACTGGTACTTGTTAGAGGTCGAAAAGAAAAGAAAAAGATGAATTTGGTAAGTGCATTTGAATACTATGTAATGAGAGAGTATCATGACTTTACACAGATGGTCAAAAGAAACTTGAGACAGGAGTGACAGGATTTGGGGTGGCAATACCAGGTAAAGGAAGAGGAATCAACAGAAGAACATCCAATAGTTTGGGGGTTTACACAGTGAAGATAATGGCAGTGCTGGTTTACTATGATGGGTGGAAATAACTACGGTAGGAAAAGGTGTTGATTTGCTCCGACTCATCTTCAGCCCAATAGCAAGTTTTAGGTATTTTCATTCAAACAGCTGTCAAGATCAATGGTAAATGGACTGTACTTGTCGCGCTTCAACACTACATGTCATCCTTCACCCATTCGCACACTGATAGCAGGGGCTACCATGTGACTGTCTGGCTGAATGTAACCATTTGAATCAACCTTTAAAAAATAAAATATAGGAAAATGACATTTTAGCCCTAACTCTTAAAAAACTTTGTGTATTTCATGGGAATTTATTTATAAAAGCGATTACAGGAGTATTTCATGATATGGTGTGTTGTTTTGGTTTCTGATTTATATTTCTTTACATATCACTAATGATCAGCTAATGCATGATATTTACATCACAATAAGATGCATACGGGCAAATCAGACTTTAGTCCAGAGGGATGTCTTGTTCGTTTTGTTACAAAAATGATACACTGACTTCAATAATTACAACTGGGAACTAACTTATTACGCTCAATATTAGCAGCTTTATGCAGACTGGACTCAATAGAAAGCTAATGTGGTATTGCAACATTAGCTTGTGTCGTGACAGTCCACCGACCTTTCTGCAGTGTGTTATATGTCACTAGCTGGCATTGCTAATTTAGCGCTTTTCTATCTTTTTTCAACTAGCAAATGAACCGAGTGGCTTAAAGTGGTCATGTGGACAGAAACTCAAATCCTCCCTGTGGACTTTTCCAGCTCTTTAACGGTCATCTTTGGACTCTTCATCACCTCTCTGATTAATGTCCTCCTTGTCTGGTCCTTGGGGTTTGGCCCTCTCTTTAAGGTTTGTGTTGGTGTCATATTTTTTCCATTTTGTAATAATGAATACTGATGTTTAGCAGCTATGATTTTGACCACCAGTTAGTTTTAATTAAAATGTTGCACAGTGTTTAATTGAATTCCCGGACTCCAGAGTAGTAGATGTTGGGGTCATTTAATTCTCCAGTCTCTTATTTTGCATGTCCTTTAGCGCCTCCTAGTGGCGATTGTGAATAGCTGCACTGAAGAGGAAGTGAGCAAGTAGTAAGTTCGAGGTGAGCGCTCCAGATCGGATCGATCAGGATATAACTATTTCTGTGACCTCCAGTTTATTCTCTGAAGGCAGCTGAAAACTGTCCGCAGCTTTTGTCAACACCTTCTGCTCTTGTCCACTTTCCAGGCGAGGCGCAGCTCACCTCCGACGAGCCTAGTATCACATTCCACTAGCTCTCCTCCTGGCGCTGTAGTAATTTCAACTGGGAGGTCTCCACCTTACTGACCAATGAGCACACGGCTGTGTGTTGGAAACAGAACCCGATTGGCTCAAAGCGGGGCCTCGTTGTCATATCGATAGCCGATTGGTCGGACGTGTTGCCCTAAGCGCTCGAGACCCGCCCTTTTTCTCTCCTCCGCGAGGACGACGTTTTCCCATCCACACCAGAGTCGGGAGAGAAGAAAAAGCAGAAAGAGAGCAGCTAGCAGACCGAGGTTTGGCTGCTGAAAAAAACGGGGGGAACCTTCTGCTGCTTTACCGGGATTAAGAAACGTATTTCAGGCGGACATAAGAGCAGTCTCCACCGGGGCTCCCTTTACGGTACGTGCTCCTCTGCTTTTGTTGTCACAGTCGCCGATAGTTTGACTGAGTCCGCTGCTTCACAGACACACGGGTATCAAATGACACGGAAATCATGATATTCTATCTGTTTTCTTTCCATGTGCAACGGCATTTTGTGTTTTTAATAAGCAACGAGCAGAGCTATGCGTGTTTGGAAGAGATAGTTCGGCTTCTCCGTTGCTTTATCCGTGATGTCTCCTGGTGTGTGAGACACATTGTTGCTACAAGGAAAAGGCACTTTTGACTGTTGCAGCCACTGTGAAGTTCACGCTGTTTTTTCCTCCTCGTTGCTTATTAACTTTTTGAAATGTTTAACTCGTTTTTTTTAGTTTTGTAAATGTGTAACTACCTGCAATAAGAGAAAATGGCTGAGTTCCAGAAAGCAGCCTGTAGCAAAGGGGTTTCCTTTGGTACCCGAGGTCAGATTGGCTACTCCAGAAATCATGAATATATGAATGTCACAGCTGCAGCTACACAAGAGACTATTAAAACATATATATATTTTCTGAAAGTTCAGTAACTTCATTTGTGCACACACTCTCATCCAATACAACTGTAACCACAATGGCATCCATGAAGGATGCCCTTACGGGAGCTGCAGTGAGGAGGTGACATGTGTCACTGGGGAAACAACAGTAAACCATCAGTGCTGGTTGTGAACACGCTGACATGTCGTCTTCTTGGCTGTGGTCTCCTTTGGGATCAGCTTCATGTGGATTGTGTCTCTCTCGTGTACAAATCTTCGTAATCTTCCAAAGATTATTTTTAACCAGCGTCCAAATTGTTGACTCTTATCTGCAAACAAAGATGGAGATAAATGCCACGTCTCCTTGCCCGCTTTGTTGGCCGTTTCTCAAGAGTAAAATGTTTTATTATCAGTAGTATTTGTCCCTGTCGATGTGACTTACTCTAATACACAGAGCGTGTGTGTGTTTTACTTGTTCAGGGGCATTCTGGGTTTCTCAGAGGTCACCAGGACAGAAGAGCGGATGCTTTTCTGTGACTGGAATGTAACGGTAACATACAGGAGGAGCAGACTGGGGTTGGCCTGGGTGTCAATGTGTCTCTGCACTCGGGCCAATGATCATTTGTGGGAAAAAAAAAAACATCACTCTGCAACAGGAATCTGCAACTACAAGTGGAGTGTGGGTTTTGTAGTTCAACAAGACCGGAGTGGTGGTGACTCTTCTCCGGAGAAGTGATCCAACTGATCGGAAGTCTCCCAGTTAAACTTCCGTACATATCATATCAGTATTATAAAGCCGTATGAGCTGAATATGCACGGGCAGCCCGTTGCTTGGGAAAACGAATGTCTAAAAATGAAGTCGACACATTGAACAGTTTGGGAATATTAATTAGGCGACCGGTAAAAAACTTAATGTTATTGGGTATCTTGGTGAACAAACAGACCTTTCAAGTTTAAATTATAACTTGATTTACTTGCAGATGTTGAAAACGTTTGGTAGATTTGAGAAGGGGATGGAAACGTATTGATTAAATGCTACAAATCTACATTTTTTAATCAAATTGATGCAAGTATTGAACATTTAAAAACGATACTCAGCACTATACGGAGAATATGGTACTTTCGCTCAACTGTAATGACCAATGATTAAAAAAAATAAATGCAATCTAGAAGTGATCCAAAAGTGTTCTGTCAGCAGTCCCCTCAAATGAATGCTGAAATGATCGGGAGATTAATTAATCGTCAAACGACAGAAAACCTTTGATTATCAATTAATCGTTAAAGTTATTCATCAAGCCAACATTGGATCGTTGGTTGGACTAAACATGCCTTACTTTGGGCTTAAAGGGACAGTTCATCCTAAAATCCCTCTTAACTGCAGTGTTATTTATCGATCTGAACTGTTTTGGTGTGAGTTGTCTAGTTTTGGAGATATCGACCATTGTCTTTTTAAAGAAGGCTAGTTTAGACTCTGCAACAATGAAAAATTATAGGCCAATATCAAACCTCCCATTTTTAAGTAAAATAATTGAAAAAGCGGTTTTCCAACAGCTGAACAAATTCTTGGCTGTAAATAACTGCTTTGATGTCTTCCAGTCAGGCTTTCGACAGCACCACAGTACTGAAACTGCTCTTGTTAAGGTTTTCAACGACATCCACTGAAACACAGACAATGGCAGAAGTTCAGTCTTAGTATTACTGGATCTCAGTGCTGCATTCGACACGGTCGACCATGCCATACTCCTAGAAAGACTAAAAATCTGGGTGGGACTTTCTGGCACAGCACTTAACTGGTTTGAATCCTACTTGAAGGACAGAGAATACTTTGTGTCTGTAGCTAATTACACATCAGAGCTGACTAAAATGACATGTGGTGTTACCCAAGGTTCAATACTGGGGCCTCTTCTGTTCAACATCTACATGCTTCCACTAGCTCAGATTATGGAAAACAACAAAGTGTGTTATCATAATTATAATTATGCAGACAACACACACATCTACATAACTATGTCACCAGGGTACTATAATCCCATAAAAGGGCTGGGTAACTGCATTGAACAAATCAACAACTGGATGTGCCAGAATTTTCTGGATAAAACAGAAGTAATTGTTTTTGGTACCAAGGACAAACGATTTGAAAATCACTGCTCAGCTTCAATCACTGATGTTAAAACCCACAAACCAAGCCAGAAATCTAGGTGTAGTTATGGATTCAGACCTTAACCTGAACAGCCATATCAAGACAATTACAAAATCAGCCTACTATCACCTGAAGACTATATCAAGGATTAGAGGACTTATGTCTCAACAGGATTTGGAAAAACTTGTCCATGCATTTATCTTCAGCAGACTGGACTACTGTAACGGTGTGTTTACAGGTCTCTGTAAAAAGTCTGTCAGAAAGCTGCAGCTGATTCAGAACGCTGCAGCTCAGGCACTGCACTGAGACCAGGAGGGTGGATCACATCACTCCAGTTCTAAGGTCTTTGCACTGGCTTCCTGTCAAACAAAGAATTGACTTTAAAATCCTGCTGTTGGTTTACAAAACACTGAATGGTTTAGGGCCAAAATACATCTCTGATCTGCTGCTACCTTATGAACCATCCCGACCCCTTAGGTCGTCTGGGACCGGTCGACTTTCTGTTCCCAGAGTCAGAACTAAACATGGAGAAGCAGCGTTCAGTTTTTCTGCTCCACATATCTGGAACAAAGTCCCAGAAAGCTGCAGGTCTGCTGAGACCCTCAGCTCCTGAAGACTTTTCTGTTTGCTGCTGCCTTTAATTGAACCAGATTCAATTAATGTATTAATCAATTTTCTGCATTTTACTACTGTATTTTATTTCTTACACTGTTTTTTATTGTTTCAATGAATGTTCTTAATTGTTTTTAAATCTCCTTTTCTTTTGCCTTATGCTTTGATGCTTTTAATGGTTTTATGTGAAGCACTTTGAATTTCCTTGTTGTTGAAATGTGCTATACAAATAAACTTGCCTAACCATTGTTCCAACATGAAAGCACTCACAACATGGTCTGTGGATTATCTTGAGTAATGGTCATGATTTCTGGAAAGAGACGTTCAAATGCATTTCTGTGGCGCTTTGAGCACCACACGCTGAGTGCCACATAGTCACATATTGCAGAGAAGGTGGACATCTCCACGGCCTGTATTTCCAACACTCGCAACAAAACAATCCAGACGGATACGGACATATTTGTATTTTGAGTTTTTGGGTGAACTGCCCCTTTTTAAGGCGGTTGTGATGGCCATTCTACACTAAGTTCTGTTGTTTTATAGACTAAATGACTAATCTATAATGAAGATAATCAATAGCTGCAGCCCCACCTTAAGTATGCATTCCACAGAAAACCCTTAACCCGTGTAATGTTTGGGCTGACTTCTCCAGTATAAAAAAGAAGAAACAATTACATTAAATCCCCTAAATTAATGCAATAATTAACCTCCAACTTGAGAACATTTCCCCCCAAAGACTCCCGTCTGAACCGATTGGTCTGTTTGTGCCGTGCATATTCCAGCAGCAGGAGAAAGAAAAGCATTGGTTTTTGATTTCTGTGTTGCAATATTCTGGGTGGTCTGGAGCCCTGGTGAGGTAGCACGGATCGGGATTGTCGCTCTTGTCATGTAGCTGCCGTCACCCCCCCATCGCCCCAGCAGACCAACCGTCTCCCGCCGCAGAGCTTATGTACATATTTGCAGTGACACATAGAGAAGATACCGGCACCTCAGCGGGAGTCGACCGGCCTTCTGGGTGATCCGGTCGTCTGCGGACTGAGTGTGTGCAGAACTCTTTTTCTTTTCTTTTTTTTTCTTCGACCGATCAAATCCCCTCTGTTCTTGAAGTGGTTCAAATCTCCGACCACTTTTTTTAAAGAGCCAGTGAATCATCTCCAAACCGCATAAAGGAATGGAAAACAAACAGAACTGTAACTGGAGGCAGGCGGAAGGGACTTTAAGGTAGTTTAAATCTGAATGTTAGATGGGACGCCTTCACAAAGTATCCTTGATGGTCTCACACAGCAGACACCAGCGGTTTTGCTGCAATCTCACACACACACACACACACACACACACACACACACACACCCCCTGTCCTCCATTTAACCCGGTCCGCCTTATTGGCCCCAAATGTCGAAGTAAGAAACAATCCACCCGTCACTCTCGTAAAACGTGCACGTGCGTTACACCGACTCACACACACACGCATGCTGCAAAGGATGACTTCTGTGTGTGGTTGTCATGGAAACAACGCCTCTCTGAAAGCAAAAGACAGAAGAAGAGCCATGTGCTCCTGGTTCAGACACCACGTCTGGTCTGTGTGCAGAGTATCATATAATCAGTTTGTATAGACACAAGCTCTTTTTTCTTCAGCCCCACTGATTGATATGTTTGAGAGTTAATGAGTTGAAGAAGAGCCGCGGGTAAGGACTATATTGTCATTCCTCCACGTCGGCATTATGTCTTCAGGTTTCCCGTCTGTCGGTCCGTCCTGGTCTT